TATCTATCTATCTATCTATCTATCTATCTATCTATCTATCTATCTATATCTACCTATCTGCTTATTTCTCTGAGTCAGGGTTTCACTGTATAGCTAGGCTGACCTGAAGCTCTCATCCTCTTGCTCCAGCCTCCCATGTGTTGAGATTCCAAGAACGCAACATCAAGACTCATTTCACATCGGTGTTTAAAGAAGCAGCTCTCCTTATCCTTGATTTTTCCTCTCCTTTATCCATGGAGTATAATTATTGCCCCCAAAGCAGAGTAATTTTTGATATTATTGAAATGTATTTCAAAATTCTCCTCTAGATAATTTGTTCCAATTTATACACTACAGTTAACAAGAGTGTGTGGCCTGCCGCCCTGTCAGGGTTGGGGAGAATTTCTTCTCTGTTAAACCCAGTGAATGGTTTGGAGATCTAGCTAGCAGGCAGTGATGGGGTTAGGTGGCCACTTTAGAGTAGGAGATTGTCTTGAGAAGGCAGAGCTGGCGATATTGAAGTCTTTTGCTTAACTGTGTGTTAAGATAGGGATGCTTTTAGTTGTTAAAGTGGGGGAAGAGAATTAGGATCAGGGGGCTAGAAACTGGGTCTAGAAATATTGCACATTCAAAGCAAACCCCACATAAAACCCAATGAATAAATAGCCAAAAAATTCTCCAAAGAAAACCTGAAAATAGTTAAAGAAAATGTCAGTTTTAGTATTTCATTCATTCTATTGGAAGAAAAATAATAGAATTCGGAATTTTTATAATTTTAAAGGGGGGAATTGGGAGTGAGTCACATACAGCCTGGAAGAAGAGACGTGGAGAAAGAGAGCCTTACGGGCTGACTACACTTTCATCTCCTTTTCTCTAGAAGTCATTCTATTCAGTGACATTGCCATATGGTAGGAAATGGGGGTTGGATAGCTCATGACTCACTCACCAGAGGGCTAGTGTCTTAGTCAGGGTTTCTACTGCTGTGATAAGACGTCATGACCCAGAGAAACCTGGGGAGAAAAGGGTTCATTTCAGCTTCTGGTTCCACATCACAATCCATCATCGAGTGAAGTCAGGGAAGGAACCTGGAGGCAGGAACTGGAGCACAAGCCACAGAAGAGCGCTGCTTACTGGCTTGCTCCAGCTTGCTTTCTCACAGCATCAGGACCAGTAGCCCAGGAGTGGCATCACCCACCGAGAGCTAGACCCTCTCACATTAATCATCGATCAAGAACATGTACCACAGGCTTTCCCACAGGCCAGTCTGGTGGGGGAATTTTCTTAACTGAAATTCTCCTTCGAAAATGGCTCCAGCTTGTGTCAAGTTGATATAAAATGAGCAGCACAGGGAAGGGCTGTGATTGACCTCAGTCAATCAGTTACTGCCTGAGAGTGAGCTGTGGAGATTGTTCACTGTGGGTCAGTCAAGGATGGCTTTTTTTTTTTTTTGTCAAATTAATATAAAGTCTCTGGGGACAGGGTTTAGGAGAATGGAGTCTGTATATGGCTCATGTAATTGGAGTTTCATAATTATTTTTAACCTCTTGTGTGACGTTTTGGGAAAATCCCTCAGTTGCATTTTCCAAAGCTCTAATTGTGCCACTGTGCCCTGTCCTTAGCTTTGCCGCCTGTCCAGACCCTGCAGCTCTCACTTCCAGGGCTTCTTCACGTTTCTGTTTCTGCTCTCCTATTCTCCTAACTCCCTCGCTTTGCTCAGGGCTGTTTTATAACCATTTTCAAGTTGCTCTACAACTTTCCTTTCATCTGGAGGGAGCTCTCGCTGCTGTTGTTGGCAAGCTTCTCATCTTGCTGTTTCTTTTCCATGGAGATGTTTGTTTCTTTTGAAGAGAAATGTGGCAGTGTGGTTCTTTTCTCTTTCATCAGGGAAGCAGCTTGGAGTGATGGTTGCAGCTCCAACACCCCAGTGCTCAAATTTTGGCTATGTGATGTCTGACTAAATAGATGCAGTTTGTGTGTGTGTGTGTGCGTGTGCGTGTGTGTGTGTTTGGCAGAGTCTCACTGTTGAGGCCAGGCTGATCTTAAATTCACTAAGTACCTCTCTCTGCCTGATCTTGAATTTGATATTGTCCTGCCCATTTTAGCCTCTTGGGTACTGGGATTACGGGTGTGCAGCATTGTGTCTAACTCTTGGCCGTTTTCCTCATCTCTTTGAGCCTCAGTGTCATCTAAGCACCTCCTGGTTATATCTGTGTTGGGGGAAGAGTGCTGACTGCGTGAATAAAATTAGGCAATGGGAGAAAAGAGTGAGTTGGGTGGGTATGGAAGTGGTGCTTGAAGCTTGAGCATAGAGGGAAATTTGGTAACAAGTTCAAGTCCAGGGTTCCTGGTTATGTCTGAGTCTCTGGGTCAGGTCT